CTCGCGTGGTACTTTCCGTCTGCGCGGGATTGCCAGCGCGTTGAGACTGCGCTGGCCATTCGCGAGGTACCCCGTCAGCATCTGGATCGGCGCGCCGCTGCCGATGTCCTCCTTGACGAAGCCGCGCTGCACTCCCGAGGCCAGTCGCACTCGGGCCAGGCTGAATACCGATGCCATCAGGCCAAAGCCGTCAATCTTGCCAAACGGCTGCGGGCTGGTTCATCAAAAAAACGCCCCGCGCCACTCTGGTCGCGATTGGGGTGCCACCCCGCCGTTCGAAGGTAAGTCATCGCCGCCTCGACACCTATGGCCGCGATTTGCTCGGCGGCAAGAGCGCGCTCGTTCTTCGACTCGGCCAGGGCCCGCTGCTCCTGAGCCATGGCCGTCATCCGGGCCGTTGTCAGCTCCTGCGGCCTCCCGTCGGTGAGCTTGCCCCCCTTGTTGCTCGATCGCGCAGATCTCGCTGCCCACGCGATGTCAAACCCATTCGAGCCTTCGCCCTGGCAATGACGTCTCGACGATCTTGCGATCCTGAGCCTCGTCGAACTGTCCGGGCAAACCTCCTGTCGACGATGCTGTGATCCTGACCCTTCCGACGATCAGCCCCCAGCTCCTCCGCGACCGCGCTGTCGTTCGCCGAGAGTGCGACTTTCTCGCAGTCGCCGTCGTCGTGCTTCTCCTGATAGGCGAAGCGAAGATTTTCTGGCGCGCTTCACATCCGCGGCGAGGTGCGCGATGGCGACGCCGCGGGATGACTTGAGATCCATCGTCTGCAACGCTGCCTGCCCGTCATTCCTGTGCTCTGCGACGTTTATGCCCGCGCGCGGGCCCTTCTTCAGATTGGTGAATGGCGCAGTGGTTTACGGCGACGATAATTCCAGCTGCCCGGACTTCGCGCGGACGCGTCCGTGAACAATTTCCAGCGAAAGTATGGGGATCAACAGCGACGCCGTCCTGGCGGCATCGCGGTCGAAGATGCCTCTCCTCTGAATCCGCCATCGCTGATGGGGTTCACCCGCGCGCGCTGTTGGGGCCGCTCGCGAAGGTGGACGTCCGCGGAGAGCCTGTCTGCAAACCGCGCCGGGATGTAGATTTCTCGCGCCGCCCCCCCCCCCCCCAGGACCTGTCGACTGGCGCAGGCGGTGCCGACGAGCGCCGCCGCGTCAGGGTCTAGTCCACCACGCAAGCCAGTCGCCCCCGCGGCGACGGCGAAGTCGAACTACCCCAGCCGAATGTCCAGGCCGATCTCGGGCCCAGCACTGAACGGAGAGAGGCTGAGCGCGCTTGGCCGCGCGGCTATAAGCCCCGAAGGCGTCGCCAAAATGGCCGCCCAGAGGTTTCTCTGGCTGTCCGAGGGGCGGCGGGCCCCCTCCACGGTCTCGCCCTCTTTCAGCGACGTCGCGAACAGACCGGGCGGTCGCTCGAACGCGGCGCCCGCTGGCCGACGCCCCAACTGCGCGCGCCCATGCGCCCCGAGGCGCCCGTGGAACTCCGATAAATCCTCTCGATTTAGATATGCTTATTTCCGCTCGCCTTTAGTCCCAACTCGCTGAGGTGCTGCTTGAGATCGCGCGCCTTCCAAATGCTGTCATCGATCATCTTCGACGCGATCTCGGGCTCGGGCGGCGCCGGGGCCTCCGGAGGCCTCGGCCTTGCCTTGGGAGTTGCCGCAGCCGCGGCCGCTCCTTGGGACCTCCTGCGGCCTCTGTCGTAGTCGCGATTGTAGGAACCGTCGCCCTCGCACTCGTCTGGCTGGTGGTCGGGCTCGTCCGGGGAGTGATGCGAGTCCTCGTAAAACGAAACCTCCTCGCCGTCGTCCTGCTCCTGCTCCTGCTCGTCGGGCGCGCCGTCGTAGTCCTCGCCGTAGGCCGCGTAGACCTCGGCCATGGCCTCACCCACCAGCGCGTCGTCGTCATCGATACCGTCGAGCGTCGAGTGTGAGTGCTTGCCCTCGCCTGCAACTTGCCCTGTGGCCTAGCTCTGCATTTCCCGCCGAACGTCTTCGCACCCCGCTGCCCTGACTTGGGGCAACATGCGTCTCCGGCCCAATGTCCGACACGCCCACGCTCCACAACAAGTGCGCTTCTTTTCTTCCTTGACCTGCCCCTGGCGCTCCTCGAATGTGACACCGCCTTTGAAGACATCACTCTGCTTTTGCGTGTCCTTCAGCTTCTTCCAAGTCGCGTCGCATGCTGAGTGTGCCTCAAAAACCTCGTCATCGCTGGATGTTCCGACGTCGCTGTTGTCATCGTCGTGTGCGGCGTTTGGCCTCTTCGCCCATCTCGAACTGTTCGTCTGAGATATTGTCCTCCTCATCCTTGCCTCATGCGCCTTTTCCGCCCTTCCCGTTACTATGCTGCCACGTGTTCGCGTGATTTTCGGTCGGACACGGGCCTTTATTTTTTCTCTCTCTCTCTCTCTCTCTCTCTCTCTCTCTCTCCCTTATCTATCATTCTTTCTTTCTGTGTCTAACTCTCTCCATTTTCTTCCGTTCGGGCCGTGGAAGTTGACTCCCAGCGCATGTAGGGAAACTTCGAGTGTGTACTCCATGCCACCATTCACAACTATGTGTCGCTTCTGCTCGTCCGCGAGACTAGCACCGTCTAGGACGACATAAGCCATCACATCATCTGGCAGCGTGGCCTGGTTGCTTCGTTCCTGCGATTATTCCCGCAACTTCTCCTGATAGGATAGGCACTCGCCCATGCTGGTGATGCGCCTGCGACAGCATTTCTTGAAGAAACTAGCGAACGCCACGACTTTCTTGACAATGTGTTCCTTGTCTAGCGTCGCCAATGTCTCGAAGATCCCTCATCCTCTTTTTTTCATACATCTGACCTGCCAGGTCCAAGGCTAGGCGCTCAACTCGGCACCAGGCTCGTCCGTATAGTTTGTCGGGCAGCTTCACCAAGAATCGCCTTTTGTTTTTTTCTTCTTCTCGAAGTTCCTTGCTTGTTTTTGTTCGTCGTCTCCGCTACCCCTGTCCCTCGCCAGGGTCAGGGTGACACGCTTCTTGCATGTGTTCAACAGGTCTGGGTTCAGTCCCGTGCACTGCGGAAGGCTGTTTCGGTCCACCACGACCTCATCGCCACGATAGTAGGAGCGTCCAGCTCCCCGGTCGTTCATCTTGCTGTTGGTGCTGTCGGGTTCGTTCAGGTCCTCGGTGAGCGCTCGGCTGCGCCCACAATCTCAACAACAGCTCCGCAATTGAAGGGGCCCTGAGACACACAAATTTTCTGGGTTTTCGTCTTCCCCCCCACTTCCCATATTTTCCTATATTTTCCTGGGGATCGACGATTAACTGTGCCTGTGTGTCTTTCCCATCCTGAAACAGCTCCGCAATGCCTGTCTGACCACGTAGCTCGCTCGCTCGTGGCCTTGCGGTGGCTACACGCGGGCTGGCCAATCCGCGGGCAGCACAGCAAGCCAGAAGCTCAGAGGCCGGCCTGAGCCCAAGCGGCAGCGGGCAGGCCAGGGTGGCGAGAGCAGCACAGGCACATGCAAGGCTAAGAGAATGGGGATGCGGAGGAGGGGGAGGAGGAGGTGGATGTGAAAGAGGAGCAGGTGGAGGAGGAGGCCATGGGCACTCATACGAGCTCAGGGGATAACCTGCAGGGAATCACATGATGGAATTTCGAGGACATGCGAAGCTCCCATGCGTTGCTACCGAATGCATTGGCGGCGCAAGGCCCAAAATGCTATCCCCCTCCTCCTCCTCCTCCTCCTCCTCATCCTCCTCCTCCTCCTCCTCCTCCTCCTCTTCCTCCTCATGTAACTCCTCATGTTCCTATTCCTCCCGCTTCCCTTCTCCACTTCAACCGCCCGTTCCCTAGACATCTGGCGGTTTGTGTTTTCACGGCGTGGCTCCTCGGAGGTATGGTTCCATTCTGAAGACTGGCTTGGTAGGGTGTTGACTTGCATCCGTTACTAAGGAGCCGAACTCTATACACCGACGCCTTTGTCTGGCCTCACACTGAGTCTCGCACAGAAAAACGGATCCTGGTGTACACGGGATCCTGGTATATACACTCTTCGTTGCTTCCCGGAGAAAACGGGGGAAAGAAGTATACACCACACCACCCCGACGTCGTCACCGACCCTCGGAAAAGTCCTGGGATTGAGAATAACCGCCCGCCACTGGTAATGTACATGCTCCAGTTTCGAGTTGCCGCTTCTCTGCAGCGCCTCCCGAGGCCGAACGCAACCCACAGAAGGCCGGCCGCGGCATTCGCACCGCCAGCTTTGAAGGGGCCCTGGGACACACAAATAAATACACACAAATAGAAGGATTCCCAAAATTTTCTGGGTTTCTGTCTTTCCCCCCCACTGCCCATATTTTCCCATATCTTCTGGGGAATCGACGATTCATGGTGTCTGTATGCTTTTTCCCCTCCTGAAGCTTGCATCCATCGCCGGGCTCCGTCGGCTGGAACAGGGGGGCCCGGCCCTCCAGGGGGCGGAGAACGCAGCAGAGCAGTGGGAGGCACGCCTGCTCCTTGGTGGACGGAAGGGCGGGGCGATGTGGACGGCGGGGGGGGGGGGGGCGGGAGCCTTCGGGACCTCAGCGCAAGGGGAGGGAAGGAGGAGGAAACGGAGGACAAGGAAAGACGACGAGAACAAGGGAGGAGGAGGAGGAGGAGGAGGAGGAGGAGGAGGAGGAGGAGGTACCATACAATCCCAAGGATGAAAGACCAAAGCGGCATGAACAAAAAATGCCGCAGGCACCCTTCCCCTGGAGCGCGAGGCGCGCCCTGGGCGCAGCGCCGGAGGCGCCGCCGGGAAGGCCGGCGCCGACCCAAGAAAACGCATGCTGATAGAGCGGATTCAAATGGTCCAAGTCCCTAGTGGGTAAACGCACACCTGTCATCCATCAGCCACTGTATGTGTGCTGACAGGTCTCGTTCCTCTTCGATGGGACGAAGGCGATGGGCGAGGAGGGGGGGCGGCGGGGGTGAATTGCAAAGGAAACTGGGAATCGGGAGTGGAGCTGCCTGGCTGGCCCCGTGGAGTCCTGGGACCCGCCGCCGTGGCCGGCGAGGGCGGCATCCCGCAGCCATGGCCGCAGCGCCGCCGGAGCCTCCTCGGCGCGGGAGCCGCGATCGCTCGGGTCGCCGCGCGCCATCGGACCTATGGAGCCAGGCGCGGGCATCTCTGGTTCCCCCCCCCCTCCCCGAAGGGATTTGTCCCAATAGCGTTTCGCTGGAGGGTACAGCCAGAATCAGACCGCACAAAAGCCCCAGCCCCAAACCGCCTGGTCAAGCAACCGTTTGGTCAAGCAACCGTTTCCTTCTTGAGATGTCCTGACAGTGTATTCAGGAATCTGACTCTCACCCCAATGCTGGCCACATGTTTGGTCTGGACGGCCACGATCCCTGGTTAAACAAACTCAAGTGCACCTGGCTTCACCTTTGCTGCTATTAGGGTGCTTTGCTAGGGCAATTCCCGACCTTCGTGTGGATTTTGGCCCCCCGCTTTAAACCCGCAGCGTCACGCGTGCCACCTCCCGCCTTCATCCCCTGCTCCCCCTCCTCCTCCTCCTC